ATTATATGCCATTACATTGATCATATGAGATTACTGATATGGCTTATTCACAGATTCCATACAGCGCAGGCATCGATATGCTGAAAATTTTTAAGACTAGCCTGCTGAAGACATCAATACTTGATGACTTTATGTTCTACGAAGAGCGGCAGAAGAAGATGCTTGAAGACAAATTTAGGCATCTTGGGAGCAGCTACAATACTTATGTACCTGCATTTGTTTCTGTTAGTGGACCTGCTGACAAAGCTGGACAGCCTTCAGGAGAAGATGGAAATCAACCTAGCGGTACAGGAAAGATCACCCAAGCAGTCGGACATCAGACTATTAGTGAATCAGAACAGTCTTCAAAATATAAGGAGAAACTGCAAGATGATACAAATTCTAGGCCTTCAAAAGTAGTCGGAGAACATTCAGGTGTCACAGTTGGTCAGTCTCAGAAAACGGATGGGAAACAGTCGAGTGTTGCTATTAGCTTATCTACCAATGCAGATGGGAAATGTTTGACCGACACAAAAGACCCACCTCCTATAGCAAATGGAGTTCAACCAAATAAAGTGGTTCGGCCTCCAAATGCAGATGCCAAGTCAAGACCTGCAAATCGTCCTCCAAAATCTGATGGAAAAGAGTCAAGTCTTGTGATGAATCAGCTACCAAAAGCAGAAATAGAACCACGAAGTCTCGAAGTTCCTCCACAAGCGGATGGAAAGCAGACAAAATGGAAAATTAGTCAGCCTCCAAAATCAGATGGGAACCCCGCCAGGGCCAAGGATGTGAATGGTGTAGGTAAGGGAGGCCCTGGTGGGGAACAGTTCAAGGAAAAAACACAGCTTGCCTCGGAATCTTCTGCTGCCACAGATCACAAGGGTACTAATGTTGTCTCAAAAGCCGGTGCGCCTTCTCTTGGTCCAAAGCTTAGGGCAGCCAAAAGCCCAGGCACCATGGAGCCAGAGGTCATTTCCCCCGATTTTGTTAAGGTTGGTTCAGTGCCAATCAAAGTTAAGGATCTTGGTGAATCTTCTATGGTTATGAGTGTAGGGACTTTACCTACTGATTCTAAAGGACCAAAGCCGAGCAAGAAGGCTGACAGTCAGCAGCCAAAGAAATGACAGTGGTTTAGATAATCATGCTCATCCATTTTGCTCTTAGTTTGCGTGGTCTTATTGGCAGTGAATGAGGCTTTTCATCAATCTGTGTGACTCTTGATTATGCAAAGGTGATCCAACATCTAGGAGTTTTTTCTTTTAGCATCAGTCAACTCCGCCAGGGCTTTGATTTGCTGTGGTGGGGTCCATTTGCATTTCATTGCTTTTTTTTGTTACCCTCAGCTGTTTTGGTGAAATGGTTAGGGGTTGGGGATTCTTTTTCCAACTGTTGATGAAATCTTGTTCTGCAGGCTTACAAAGTTGTAACTCTTTTCTCCTTTCATATGACATCGACAATTGAATACAGATCCAATATAGTGGGGTGAATTATAGTGTCTCAGTTCCTCTGCATAGCCTCCATTCTAACTGTCCATGTTACAAACACTTGATCTGCCACTGTAAACAAGCTTCAGATGATCAAATAATGCCTAGCTCATGCTAGATCATATTATCTATATATATATATATATATATATGTGCACTGTATAATAAAGGTTTTGTCAAGGATGCTCTCTGACTACTATTGCGTGTAATTGGCTTTCAGGTTTCAACAGCTCTGATACGAGTCCGACACTTTCTCATGCTCGATCAAGTTTACGACGGTGCTGCTGTGAGCTTCACATTCCAATTGTCTTTGGTCGACATATTACAACTATAGGTCCATTATGATAGCAAAATAAAGGTTGTTCATGCGACCAAACTGGTTTTCTCCGCACATTTTGCTGTAGCGATATTTCATTTTTATGGATAACATAATCGGTTGCACCATTTATCTGAATAATCTAGGATCTCATGAACTGGTCATCATTCTTGGGTGTCATCAATCTTTCTTTCTGCTTGCTATTGTGTTCCATTTAACCATTTTTTGACAGTGCACAAGTGAATCTAAGAATTAGTACCAATACGATGATTGCACGGGTTAATTATAAATTAATCCTATAGTTAAACCTCTTTAATATTTCAATTTTTATATTTAAAAAATTTATATTAAAATTTTTATAATTATCAAAGTAAAACTTCTGATTTCATTTATTTTAATATCATTGATTTTATCATAAAAAATATATTTTATCAATTTTTGATTCCAACACCACTCGGGGCCTGATTTTATCAATAAAAAATATTTTTTATCAATTTCTGATCACAACACCACTAGGGGCCAACACAGATACAAATGTCAAGCGCCCAACGATCTTTTCGTTGCTCGACATCTGCATCGTCAACGTAGATATCAAGAATCATACTTTCGTTGCTCGACATCTACATTATCAACATAAATGCGAAACATCATACTTTCGTTGCTTCGACATCTGTGTCGTCAACATATGACGAGCAACATACTTTCATTGCTCGACATCTGTGTCGTCAACATATGACGAGCATCATACTTTCATTGCTCGACATCTGTGTCGTCAACATAGATGACAAGCACCAAACTTTTCCTTCTCTTCTGTGGCCTCATCTATCCATGACCCCCAACAACATTATCATATGTAACCATCAAAATTATAATTAAAATATTAAAATTATATATTTTTTTATATATCTTTTTTCTAATAAAACCAACGATATTATAATAAATAACGTAAATTTGTTCTGATTGTGCAATATGAACCTTTGGAGTATTATGACTTGTACTTGTAAACGACAACATTAAGCATGCATTTTCTGAAATGAACCTCTCCAGCCGATAGGTTTAGTAGTTTCGTAGGGTTACAGAAGTCACCACACAATACCTTGTTGCAAACACTCCCACATAAAATGAACCTCAACAGGGGCAGATAGTTGAGCATAAAAAAAATACTGTGTAAAGCGAGATCATAAAACGAATCAATAACAATGGCTCACAATTAAGATGCTGGAGTTGCTAATGAAACCCACAAGTAACCAACGAGATTTCTGTTTCAAGTCCCAAGTACACGAAATAAAAGGTGTAGTTAGGTTAATTAACACAACCTGTCAACCACATATCATACATATTAAGATATGTCCAAGAAACCATGAGCCTCTGTCAATGTTAAATTAACATCCTGTAACTGGAATATGAAAAGAAAAACTCTCTTGAAACAAGTTCCAAAAGCATCGGGAAAAAAATAAAAACATTGCAAGTCAAAAGATGTATCGGAAACAAAAACGTGTTCCATCACCGGAAAGACCTGATAGGTAGAGCGCAGCCAAATCTAAAAAAATCTAAACAGGCCAAGGGAAGAAATGTTATCAGGATTTTGGAAGCACAGCTTCGGTATAATGTGCTCCCTTGTAATAGAAAAAAAAACCAGAAATCTACTGCAAAGCAATTATTCCAATAGAAAGTACAGCAATCGACTGCAAAGCGATTATTCCAATAGGAAGTACAGACCTACTGCGACAGAGCTGAAGATCGGGAGGGCAATCAAAGAATTCTGGATACCAATTTTCCAAGAAATTAAAATTTCATTCAGAAATTGAATCAAGGTGAGAGAGAGAGAGCCGGGCAAGACACAAGCTGCGTTTCCATGATCCAGAAGGTAACTGGTTTCAAGTAAATGATGTAACTATTTCTCTTGCAACCATGGATATTAGGTGAGGAATTTCCACTATGTGTAAAGGGGTGTGCTACATTCACCTACATTAAGACAAGCCCCAAATCAAGACACTTTGTCGGACTAAGAATCATATTCCTCCCTGCCGCACTGCATAGGTGTTAGGGAACCAAGCGTCAATTGCTAAATAGTTAAGGTCTGAAAACTCAACAGCTCGGATCAAATCTGATACTACAGATATACAAATTTCAACATTTTACAAACAAATATTTGTACAGATCAATTCCTATCGGTTTGCCAATGCCACTATTAAAGATGATGAACAAGTTCAGAAAGGCTTCATCATGAAGATAGATCTGAATATAGGGCCTAGAGGTTTGCAGCACTATTATCTAATGACAAATCAGGGCCACAAGATATTTTATGAAATCTATAGAAAACATCTAAATAATCAATTAATCAACTTTCTACAAGAAACATGATAAATGTTCTCATGGTAAGTTCAATCATGACCCTCATCGCTACACGAGAACAAAGAAATGAAAGAAAGAGAACAATATGTAGGGAAAAGAACTAACAATTGGAACACCATACTATAACTTCACGCCTTCACACTTCCTTGCCCCAAACAAAATCCATAGATCTTATTCATAACACTCATTCGACAATTAGAATTTGAAGGCAGTCGGGCACAAATGAAGTATCCACAAAAAGAGTGTTTCTACATTTTCAAAACCCTGGACTTCGTTTTTCCCCATTGAAAGATACAGATACAGCTCCAGTGGAGATATAAATACTTAAGATGTTAAAATCTGAGGAAATAAGAGAAAGAAACATAAATTTTGGATATGAGTAATTATTCAAGAACAAGGATAGAAGCATCATCTAACTTTCATGTAAAAGTTCCCTCTGGGGTCTAGGCAAAAAGTTGTTTACGCGGAAGGTTAGATAACTGATAGATAAAACATGTTAGTCCCAATTAAGAAGATACAGAGATGACACAAATGAAAGACAGAGAAGACCAGTGTGAGGTAAATATTAAACCTTAGATACGACCTAAAAAGTTTAACATTGTTAACCATAAACATAAATAAATGATTTTATGAAGAAACACTAAATGCATTCGTTTCCAGTCTGTAATTATTATGCAAACATCGTAAAAGTATATATATGACAAGAACCAAAACACTGTCTAAAGAATAAATGATAGGTATTAGTCATACTGATAGCTCAAATTTATAATTCGTTTAAAGTTAGGAACAAGCTATAGCAACATCCAAAAAATTATCACATAATTAATCATTCAATCAATCCCATGAAAAACAAGAGTATAATGCGCTCTAAACAACTCCAAACAAGATAGCATTATCAATAACAAGCAATCAACTGTAAACCAAAAAGGTCTCTTCCAGTAACAAAGATTGGCAATTAATCAACATCCGTCGAACTAATAGTAACTTCTTAAAAGTAACATTTAATAATCACGATGGTCCTCATTATTTTGTCCTCAAAACATAAGCTAAACATAAGGAAAAACTTAAACTAGCTAAAAGCATCTTTTCTTTCCGTCGATTTAGATAAGCTTCGATCAAGAGGAGCTAACGCTCACTCACCTTGCGCCTTCTGGTACACGTAGGTGAGGCCGCACTTGCCGCAGTAATGGCGGTCAAAGTGGTTGGCCATGAAGGTGCCAGCGCCGCACTCGGCGTTGGGGCACTCCTTCCGCAGCCTGGTGACCTTGCCGGTCGCGTCGTCAACCTTGTAGAACTGGAGCACGGCGAGCTTGACCTTCTTCTTCTTGTGCTTGATCTTCTTGGGCTTCGTGTAGGTCTTCTTCTTGCGCTTCTTGGCGCCCCCACGAAGGCGGAGGACGAGGTGGAGGGTGGACTCCTTCTGGATGTTGTAGTCTGCGAGGGTGCGCCCGTCCTCGAGCTGCTTCCCGGCAAATATGAGGCGCTGCTGGTCCGGCGGGATCCCCTCCTTGTCCTGGATCTTCGCCTTGACGTTGTCGATGGTGTCCGAAGACTCCACCTCGAGGGTGATCGTCTTCCCGGTGAGGGTCTTCACGAAGATCTGCATCTTCCCGGCGGTAAGTGCTGGTGACGCCGCCGCTTTCGTCGCTAAGGTTATCGCTTGCCCTCGGCGCTGAGAAAAATTAGGGTTTCGTGTTAGAATAAAGGGTATATATATACCGGTTCTTTTGGTGTACTACCACGCGGGAGGATCGTAATATGTTGGTTCGGTTGATCGTGACCGTTGATATGCAAACAAAGATAAGGTGTTGGGGAGACTGTAAGGAGGTCAGGCGGTACATCGTATGTGACCAAAAAGAAGCTACTTAATTATATCTTAAAAAAATTAAGCTGACCATAAAAAGAATTAAAACCTAACCCAATTTGCTTAGCAACCAAAGCTTAAATCTACATAATTAGGTTTGAAGCTAATCAAGATAAGAATTTTCATTCATATATTTTAGCTTCCAAGAAATATTCCTCGATAATAGGACAGGCAATGTTAGAGTAAAATAATGGTCTTTTAGGAGTATTGAAGTGTTTGCATTTGGCTTGGTCGATTGCCATTTCATTTATATCATGTGAGATTTGCTAGTGGGTTATCTCCTTTACAACATGTTAATGCTGATGGCAGTTTGGTGATTATTCGAACCGAAGATCCATTAAAAATATATATTTTAATCATACAGTAAAATATGCTTCGAACTCAATTTGTTATTATCAAATTCAATTATTATTTATTCATGATTTTATTTTTTACTTCGAACTCAACTTAAACTTTAGAGGGATCAATCACACACCATAGATCTCTTGGCTCAAGATTAAATTAAACGTTAGAGGGAGCATATTTTAAACACACAAGGTAGTTTTGGTTGTATAAATTCAGATAATAGAGGAATTCCTTTGACATAACTTAATTACATGACAGCATAAAAATACATGCAACACAGCATTGTAAAATTATGCATGAAGGAATACTATTATTATTATTATTATTATGTTAATTAGAAATCATCAATTTCAAAATATTAAATCAACGTTCATCATATTATAGCGTATCGTTCTATATAAACGATACGTATTAGTAAATTGATACAAGCTGTCATGAATAAATTTGTAAACGATATGTTTGAAGTAATGCTTATGTATCTCCGTATCTTTTGGTTTTGTTCATGCGTTGTATAGAATGTAAAGAGCTGATAGTAGGTTTAGTAGTCCCATTTTTTTTTATTTTGATGATCATCTTAGACTTATAAATAAAGATTATATCATGTGGATACTCGTTGGGATCTCAATCTATAGTAAATTATTTTAGACTATTTATTATACGATCGTTTATGAAGTATATTTATAATTTGTATTAGGTGTTTATTGAAATAATTGTTTGTGGATGATGTTTTCTCTAACCCGTTTTCTTTTTTGTATATGTTAAGAAACTATAGGAGGTTTCATTAAGATTAATTTTTACGAACGAATACATAATATTGTTATACGACTTAAGCAAAACATGTATAATAAAACGATACATCGATAACTTCAACAATCTCACAAACTTATTCTTATACGAAAACTTCTCTGCTTAAGTAGTTGATAAGAAGTTCTCAGAGCTGCTGCAGTACCAAGAATCCTGGAACAAATGGGAGTTGGTGGAGGTGGGTAATCCACTTTGACTCACTTGAACAATCTTAACACTGCACTGGATATCTCTGAGAAATCAGCATATAACTTTCTTTGATTACATCGTAAAAGATTATAGTAATAGAATATCATATAAAAGCTCAACTGGTAGCAGTTGGTGCAAGTAAATGCCACTTGTATTCTCATAGTCCTCGCCGATCACAGAAGCAAGCACGCAGTGGTCTACCAAGATGGTTCTGGCCTTGAATCAAGGAAACTCCAGATGAAGCCTAAATCATCTCTTCTTCTTCTTCTTCAGTAGCTGTCTTTTAATCACAATATTATGACAGTGTCTGCTATCTGTGAAAGGATGAGGACATGTCTAGAGCATGGGCCAACCTCCTCAGGATTCTATCAACTGCAAAGTTATGGGTTAAAAAAGCATGAGAAAAGGGTTAAGATTCCTCTACACCCCAACACAATCCATCTGTCGAAGAAGATTTGCCCTGAGTGATTGATGTACTGATCATAGACAAACACAATTCCAAGCTTCTCATCTTTCTAATACTCATCTCCCTTATCTTCGATACCTGTAGTTTGCAGGCTTACAACGACGCTCAGTGTTTCTGCATTCCTCTGTTCATGGCTCCAAAATCCCTTGTTTTCACCTGTCTTTTTCGTCCTTTCCGTTCTCTCAGATGTTGGCAGAGTCCCTTAATGGTCCAATTTTGACCATGAAATTTCGGCAGTGCCGCAGTCTAACATCAATTATTATCGTAGAAGATGCCACACTGACCTCCGTTCTTCCTTCTGATCCCCTGCAGCTGTGCAGGGGGAATCGGTGTGCCGTTTCACCACGCTATCATATCATGCAGTGGCAGCGATACGGAAGATTGTGCCACCGGGACGCGGGCCCCACCGAGGACAGGAGTGAGAGGCTTTGGTGGGCCCCGTCCGAGGGGCGGAGGGGAATCTCAGTAACAAACCGTCCCTGTTTGTCCAAACTCATGCAGAAGAAACCAACAGCTTTCTTTCACTCCAAATCAGCGTTGCCTCTTCTATATTTGCACATCCCCTCTCTCTTCTCTTCCTCTTCCTCTTCCTCTTCCTCTTCCCATTCCACCTCCCTGCATTTTGCTTTTCACCATGCCTTTAGTCACTTCCCAAGTTGGCTTCTCATCGATGCTCTTCTGAACCCTTCCCCATACATTTCTCCACCGACTCTCCACAGGTTTGTTTGTTAATGTCTCCATATCGTTGTGTATATATGCGTCTTGGTTTTAGCTAACACCATATTTGATGTAGAGAGATCTCAAGCAATTCGAAGAGAGACAAGGATGTACCAGTTTGGTTCCCATGGCCGGGGGGTTGGAGCAGCAGGAGCTTTTGGTGGCTCATCTCACACTGCCACCACGAGCTACCCGGACTTACCACCACCCGTGGAAGACAACAAGGGCAGCAACAGCAGCGACCTGGAAGAGAAGATGAGGCTCCCGGGCTTCTCCCATGACGACCAGACCATCAACGACGCTTCCATGGGACTGGAGCTCGACCTCCACCACCAGTTCGACCTCGAGGCCAAGCAAGAGATCTCCACCCATCTGATGCAAGCCGGCGGCTACCCCCAGTGCTTTGATCCCGCCACCATTTCCTACTCGGCGGCGTTTGGGATGCCGGCCGATGTGTTCTTCGCTGAGCTGCCGCCCGACGGGTTGTACGACCCGGCGGTCCATTACGGTCCGTCCAATCCGCCATTTATGGTGAGAGAAGTGCTCGGCTCGTTTCCGCATGCCGCTGGGTTCTTTGCGGCTGGATCAAGAGGCAGCGGGGAGTCTTATGTTATTGGGACCGAGGACGGGCGTGGAGGGCAGCTTCTCGAGAGCCCACATGTGCGCAACAAGCGGCAGCAGGGAGCTCCGTGGGGGATGAAACAGGGCGGGCTGAAGAACGAGAAGCAAAGAAGAGAGAGGCTCGGCAAGAAGTTTGAAGACCTGAAATCACTGATCCCAAACTCGACTAAAGTATGTGTCCGACACATAAAAAGCTGCATTAATGGTGTCATCTTCTTACTTCTTCATGCTCCTCCTCTCTACGTTTCCTTGCCTTCAAGCCCGACAGAGCCTCCATCGTCGCCGACACAATCGAGTACATCAACGAGCTGCTGAGGACAGTCGACGAGCTCAAGATACTGGTGGAAAAGAAGCGACGTTGGAGGGAGAGGGCCAGGAAGACGGCGACTGGAGACCAAGCAGCTGGCGACATGGAGAGTTCCTCCATCACGCCTCCCATGGACGACGCCGACCGTGCATCCAAGGGCGTGCTGCGGAGCTCGTGGCTCCAAAGGAGATCCAAGGACACGTTCGTGGACGTCCGCATCGTCGACGACGAAGCCAACATCAAGCTCACTCGGCGTAAGATGATGAACTGCATGCTTATCGTCGCGAAGGTCCTCGACGAACTCCACCTCGAGCTGCTGCATTTGTCTGGAGGAAACGTAGGATACTCTCACATCTTCATGATCAACACCAAGGTCAGTGTCACACTCTCCCAAGTACTCTCCATGCCTTCTTCTTGTGTTTGAGGCCTAACAAAGGACAAGTTGGTGTTGTTGCAGATTCATGAAGGTTCTTCAGTGTATGCGAGCGCGATCGCGAAGAAGCTCATCGAAGCCATGGATGTGAGTGGCCCAACTTTGCCTGCCAGCTTTTAGGGTTCGCATTATATGTTAGTTGGAGTATGAGGTGATAGAATTGTGCCTGGTAAGACCAAACAATCTCTTTCTCAGTAGTTTCTGATACACCTTGCAGGAAAATAGTGGACTGCAATACTCCACTTTATGCCATCTTTTGCTACAAATATAAATGTCAAGCATCAAGTGAATCAACTTGCAGCATAAAAGTTAAAGAAAATAGAGCTTTATCATAATGTTATGCTTTTAAAAACTGGTTAATCAGAATGAAATATGATAAGAAGTTTCAGTTGGATCATTGAAATGATGCATATAAAGGCATTCAAAATATTCTTGCAATCATCTATACTGATAAGAAGTTTCAGCACTCAACAATTTGCTGCGAGTGTATGATATGGACAAAGTGAAACAATTGTTCAACTAGTGTTTTACTTCATATTCAACAAAATAAAGAGAACCAAAACTGGTATTCTACACTCACTAATTCTGTACTAATTTACACAGTTTTCATACTTCAATTCCTGATTTATTTACTACATAATTTGTTAGTGAATCGAAAGAAACTGTAGAGTCTCAGGCAAGAACTGAAAATGAAATATTTTACCTGATTGTTTGTAGAGGGATTACTACATAAATGCAGTGTTTATGTGCTGAATTGATTTCAAACTCAGCCCATTATTGAACTTGAGCCTCAACAAGTGGTCAAGATAGCCTACTCAAGCTCAAATGTTGATTTTAAGCTCAATCAAGCAAAAGAAGCCTCAAGCTAGTTGTGTATAGATGAGGAAACTTGGATTTGTGATAGCAGTGGATAAGGCACCTTTTAGAGATTAGAGATTGAGGTAGAACTACAAAATGAGGACTGGGCAATGGCTGGTGAGGTGGAGAGTGGTAAGATTATTTCAGCTGAAACAACACAACTCTCATGTCATATATATACTCTGTTATCCTTGAGTAGTGTATAGATCTAATGTTATTTTACACTCACAGTAGAAAATTGTTTCCCAACACAATCTCATTTATGATTAGCTTTCTAATTAATAAAAATTCTTTGCTAAAGCTGTGGACAAGACTTTTATTAGTTATAATTGAAATTTTGAATTAGATCAGAAACTATGCTGGAAAAGGAAGGAAAAAAGAGATATGATTATATAAGGCTTTTCTCTAAGTAACAGTGCTTTCTAAATTTTCATCCTTAATTTTAGAAATATTTCTCCATAGTTCTTGGAAGTGAGTGAAACATATAATACAATAAAAGATAAAAATAAATTACTGAAAACAGTTTAGTCCAAGAGAATCATTGAATTAGATATAACTTCTCTTAAACTTGACCTCAGAAACAGGGTGTCTCTCTACAGAATTATTTTTATCTTTATATAATATATCTAATGATATTTATTTATTTAAATTTTATCTTAATACATCAGCTGTAATCTAATTAGCAAAAAAAAACTTGGACAAAAAAATGTTGCCATCTAAATTGACTTCCAATGAATTACTATTTTGTAGTAATCCATCCTACCACCAAATTAACATACTGAAGAATAAGTAGAAGGTTGACATGTGTTATGAGCTATATAGATTAAATATTGTCTATTTAATCACCATATAAGCATTGATCAAACTAATATATATCACTGATGAAAATATATTATTGTGTTCCTCTATGCAATGGTGGTATCACCACATACAATCATTACAGCAAATATCATAATTATCATTTGTATCATCACTATGATGTCACTGCCTATGATTCTCCATGAAAGGAATAAATTTGAAGATGTCAAACAAGTGAGAGAATCCACCACTTTCTTATCTTCCTTTAATTGATTAAACTATATATAAAACTTTATATTGGATTTCATCATGTGTCTTAAGTTTTTTGTAAATGGATTTTATTGTGATTTTAAATTTTCATCATTTTCATTTTTAATCATTAGGAAGTGAGGATTTCTTAGCCAAACAGATCTTGAGAAGACAGAAAACAAATTAGACTTCAATCCATATCTCAACCTCTTGAGAAATTTAATTATTTGTATAATTATCTAAAATATAGAGTTTCTGAAATATTTTCCTATTTTTGGGGGGAACTCAGGGGGTTTTCTTGAATTATTTTATTGAAATGAAATAATGTAGTGACCACAATATACACTATTTCTTTCATGTAAGTGTAAACTTTATTTACACTCTGTGGGGTGAACAAGAATTATCTCTTCCACATTCTACTTGGCCCAAAATTTGCATCAGATCATTGAGCAGAAACAGGAATGTCTCCTTCAAAATTGCTGAGTTCTGGCATTGACTGAGCCTTGCAGATGTGTTGGCTCCTGCTGACACCCAAATCACCTGATAGCTTTGTGCACAGCTGCAGTCATCATGCAAAGAGTAGCAATGTTTGAGATTCTGAAAGCTTTTTCTGAGCTTGTACCAATGAGATCGAGTGAGTACCTGTCTATATAGTGTGGAGTCTCCATATGATTTCCTTAGCTCCACAACATACAGAGATGGACTGAGCTCAAACACCTGGACACCACCATCAGAATTGGCATGAGGTGCAGGAAAGCCATGAGTGGAATATTATGAGCAAGCAGATGGAAACCTACCTCTGCAGCAACCGAGAACGATCCAGAGCTCCTTGGGGTTCTTGAACTCTTGCACTGCTGCATAACTTTCAGCTGCAAATGGCAGATTAGTAAGTGTGATTTCCGAATTGGCTCAGATAGATTACCAAATGAAACAAAGATCTTACTTTGCCATGTCCTTTCTGGACTTGGAATCCCATTTCAGTGACGATGTTCTCGATCTTCTCAAACAGATGTTTTGGTGAGTGATTGGATGTGAATCTGATCTTCCTCTCGGAGACATCCTGCACAGGTCGGTCAACAAAGAGGATTTTGTTAGACCAGCATTCTTTTGTTGTGAATCGAAGATAGAACAGATTACCTCTTTCTCGAAGAAGCCAGAAAGATCAAGAGAGGAAGACATCCCAATCAGCTGAAACGCATTGATGTGGGTAGGTGAAGTTCCAATTTCATCTGATTCATTATGCTTGCAGAGCACAGAAAGACTCGGGTCTTCTTCATCGTCACTGGGGATGGCTGCGACATAGTCCTGCTTGAACCATTCATGTGCTTTGATTCCAGCTACATTTATCCTGGTAATAGGACTTGGATCAAGGATTCTTCTCAAGATGTCTCGAGCACCAGGTGATAGCCACTTGGGGATCTTTGCATCTCCCCTCAGTATCTGGAACAAATCAAGAGATCCTCACATCGTTTTCTTCTCAGAAGGGGCATGAGCTAACATAATTTCTTTGGCTCAGTTTCATCTTACGTACCTTCTGATAGAGCACAACCAGATTTCTGTCATCGAATGGAAGAGAACCTGTAAGAATAACATACAGGATGACACCACAAGACCATATATCCGATCTGGCACCATCATAGCCTCTGTTTGAGAGCACCTGGAGATGGTTTCACAGTAAGATGTCACAGATCCACAAAAGATGGATGCGTCTAAATCTTCAGGAGTAGTGGTATCTTACCTCAGGAGCAATGTAGTTGGGGCTTCCACAGGTCGTATGCAGCAACCCATCATTCTGAAAAGAAGGTAGAAGAAATTGAGTGCTCTCAATGGTCTCCGTGGAGAAGGCAAAGATGAACTACGTACCCCAAGATGTTGTGGTAAAGCACTGAGTCCGAAGTCAGAAACCTTGATGTTTCCCTTCTCATCCACAAGAACGTTCTCTGGCTGCAACAACAAACCTTCAGCTTTCTGGCTCGAAAGCTTTACGCTGCTCGAGTATGCTTATTATGTTGCGTACCTTCAAATCTCTGTGGTAGACACCCTTGTCATGGCAGTAGCTGACAGCATCGATCAGCTGCTGGAAGAGCTTCCTCCCCGCTCCCTCCGAAAGCCTTCCCTTGGATGCCTTGAGTGCCCATCGATCGACGGTGATCAAACTCAAATGACGGTGATCGAAGGTCTAAATTAACAGTTACAGGATCGATAATTCTTACAATTTTGTCGAACAATTCACCACCATTCACGTATTCAAGGACCATATAGATCTTAGTTTTGCTTGCTGAGACCTGTGTAATCAAGGAGAGAGCAGAATAGATTAGTGAACATAGCTAGTTTGAAGCTGTAAGTCACATGATCCAACTTACAGAGACATGACAACGATGTGCATGTGCTGCATGACACTGGACGTGCAAGCCTAGTTGTACACCCTATGTGAGTAGTGACGAGTGGTTGGACGCCACCAAGCTCATGCACTTGAGGCCCCCACCAATTTGACCAATGAACGGTGCATTATTGATCGAAAGTTCCATTTCTCGATGAATTATTGATGCGTTCTTTTTTCCTAGTCTTCCAACAGGTGGGACCCACGCGTTGGGAACTGTGATTAATTGATTAATGAATCGATTAAGGGACTAAAAGTGCCGTCTGAGGTTGGATTTGTAAAGGCAACACGAAAGAGGAACTCCGATTGCTTCGTCCTAAAGGGATCCTAAATCACAAGAACAGCGGGGAGGTGGAGAGAGGAAAGAGAGCAGACCTCATGCAACCTGACGACATTAGGATGCTTCAGTAGCTTGGAGGTGCCGATCTCCCTCTTAATCTGTCACCACGCACAAACACAGACATGCGTCCGTAAGCTCAAGCTGCTCAGAGCAGCAAACTCGATTCCTCATCCTCGTCCACATAGATTAGACTTACCTGATCGGTGATGTTGAGGGACTGAACGCGGCTGCGGTCGAGGATCTTGACGGCGAAGCCCTGCCCCGTCTCCACGTGCTTCGCGTACTTCACCTTTCCGAAGTTCCCCTCCCCCAGCGTCCTCCCCAGCTCGTACTTCCCCAGCACTCGCATACCCTCCCCTCCTCCTCCTTCCTTCACCATCTCTCTCTCTCTCTCTCTCTCTCTGCTGCTGCTGCTTGTCCTGGGGGATGGAGGAGGGGATTGGGCAGGCAGTGGAGGAGCTCCCCTTATAGAGGCGGAGGGGGAGGGGAGGGGAGGTGACCTGCAACCTTCCATTCTCCAGCTCATAATAAACAGCCGCTACGTGGCCTGTGTGTGGTGGTGAGAGGGTTTCACGTAGTTTAGTCTTTTGGCGGTCAACAAACGTGATGCGCGTGGGAAGGAAGTAAACGCCATCTCCTTCTTCTGGTCTCAACGTCCACACTTCTCATTCGTTCATCATAGCTTTGGCTGTACCTTATTACTTTGGGACACAATATCTACTCTCCAATGTTTTGGTATCTCATCTTAACTTGATTCGGTAGATTTTAATATGCTTGAACAGATGTCAAATAATAATAATAATAACAATAATAATAATAATAATAAACAAGGGTGAGGTTGCTGCTACCTCTCATAATTGGGATCAGTAGGCCCTCCAAGTGTGGATCCCACTACAGTAGTTGGTGATGGCCCTTGTCGGTCATATCCATGCAAGTGTTGGCATCATCTTAAATATTTTCTATTGTTGATCTAATCCTTTTGAACAGCAGTTGTACCTTCCATAAAGCCTTGGAATTGTATTGTCAATCCCAAAAATAAATCTAATTTATGTTATAATCTA